AACAATGGTATTGAAGACTTGCGACATTTTCTGTTTATTTGTAATAAGCTTGAAGAAGTTCGGTTATCTGAGCACGAAATTTTAGTAATAAACTTTATGACTCCGGCTTATCTGAGTTATGTAATCAGATCCTTACAAAGGATACTGATGCATTTCTTATCCTTATGTTAGGCGGAGACTGCACAGAGTTTATTCCTAATCTACCCAATCACTTAATTGACTTGGCTCATTTGAGTTTTGATGATTTTTTGTTGCATGGGCAAAAAGAATTGAGATTAAAAATGGTGCTATGTTATGATTTTTATTATTATTATTATTCTTATTGATATTACTATTGTTATTATTTTTATGTGATTTATTTTTTTTAAATTTTTAAATTTTTTTTGTGTGTACAGTACTTCCTTTTTATTGATTTGCATCTCACTATGTATTTTATTCTGTTAATTTTGAAGCACCATTATTGTGATGAGTGCCTTAATGGTTTGGTTAGACTTTTTACTTCATGCTTTTTTATATTCCTTTGTTTGGTTTTGCGACTTTCTTTGTACATTTCATTTTGTTACTTTGGATTATTATCATTATTGTAATGGGTGCCGCTGTTTTAAAAGCGTTTTTCCGAAATAAATTATTATTATTATCTAAAGAGTTTAGTAATCCGATTATCGAAAAACAATGGCTTTAGAATTTTTTTTATTAAACGACTTTAGTCATATGCGTTAACAGGCCTAGGCATAGTCGATCACATGCGATCAGATCAGATATTATGTCAGGCATCAAGAGTCGCTGAGAGTCGTTATGTCGCTGCCAGTCGTCGGCGCATTCGATCTGATCAGAGTGAGACGCTTTTCCAAGCACAGGGAGGCCTGCTGCTGCCAAGGTAAAAATTCCCATTGAGACCTGTTGAAAAAACCCAGTTGAAAACCCATTGGAAAAATCCAACACTTGTTTTCGCACCATCTCAACGGGTCCAACAGGTTTTAATGGGTCCAACTGGTTTTCCAACGGAGTTTCAACAGGTTTAACTGGTTTTCAATCCCATCTGGTTCAACGGGTTACAGGTTTCCAATGGGTTTCCAATGGGTGTTCAATAAGTTTTCTAATGGGTTTCCAATATGTTTTAATGAGTTTCCTAATGGGTTTTCTAATAGGTTTCCAACTGGTTTTCAATGGGTTTTCTAATGGGTTTTCAACTGGTTTTCAATGGGTTTTCTACTATGGGTGTCCAACTGGTTTTCTACTATGGGTTTCCAACTGGTTTTCAGTGGGTTTCAATTCCAACTGGTTCAACTAGTATTCCAAAGGTTATGAGGTCCAACTGCTTTTTCAACTGGGTTTCAATTCTAATTAGCCAACTGTTATCATTAGTAACTTTGAGTCGCTGCAATATCTATTTACTTACTCTATCACCAACTGAATTGAAACAACATTTTTGTTATTATTTATTACTGTGCATTTATTATTAAATTCCACCAACAGTTACAATTATTACATACTTTGACCATTTAAAAATTATGTATCATATTAATATCTAAGTAAATGTAAATTATATATTTCTTTAATAAATTCAATGCAATATTTTAAATTTAAGAAAATATATTTAAAAATCAATTATGCACATTACATTCTATATTTACTCTATAGTTATAACAAGATCTATAGTGTAAGTCATATTGGACAATGAATTAATAATATAAAGAAACAATATGCAATTATTACTACTGTACACTTTAATTACATTGTGTATAGTGAGCAAATTTTTAAATACATTAAGGATTAAATTAAATGATTATAGATGATTACAATGCAATTGTTTTATTTAATTTAAAAAAAAAACCCTGAATTTAGAAAATATAAATAAATCAATTATGTTCACTTTGCAGAAAACTAAAAAACAAAAACAGATCAATTACTTTTTAACTTGTCAATTATCTTTTGTTAAGTGATGTACCGATTGAAGTGGGAGCTTTCTACAGCTTTCTCCTTGGTATGGCTCTATGATTACGAATATTTTTGCTTTTTGAAACATTCCTGAAAAAGAAATTGAAATATCACTTATTAAAAAAAAAAAAAAATGGTTTAACTTGATTTAAAACAATGGATTGCTAGATATAGTGTGCTTTCAGTGGCTGAGCTCTTATAATAATAAAATAATAATAGTAGACTTAGGCCAAAAAGAAATATTTGTTAGATTATCACTCACACCCGCGTTAAAAAATTGGGAAATATTGATGCGGGAATAAAAAAAAATACATTTTTTTGCCGCATTATTTATTTTAACAGCTTAAAAAAATGATGCAATTTTGTGACGGGAAATACATTTTCTTTAAAACCAATAAAATTAAACTTGTAAATATTCTTAAATAAATATTCTTAAATAAATACAGTCCCTCCCTCATCAATTAAAAAAAAGCAATATTCTATTGCTCTGTTAAAAAAAAAAAAAAAAAAAAAACACCCACCCTCATTAATTTTTTTTTTAAATAGTGATAATCTAATAGTTTTTTCTATGTGCCCTTATATTAGCATATTGTTAGGCCCTCAATGGAGTAATGCCTATGGAACACAAACTCCAGCTCCCTGGGAAAGTATTCTATAATGCTGCAGCAGATACATCAGCGCATGTTGGTACAGGGTATTTAACTCTACCTGGTACCTACTTATACTCCTGGGTAGAGAGAAGCAATGCAGATAAAATGCCTTTCCCAGGGACACAAGTTAAATACACAGCGAGGGGATTGATACCCTGACCCTGCACCAAACCACTTCTACTTATTGACCAAAGCCAGTGGCAATGGACCTTAAGGGCCCAGTATATTAATCAGCTTTTTTCTGCCAGGACCATAGACCCTCCTTCAAACCATGTGTCATAAATCAGTCATGTGTTAACACATCAAAAAAGTCAGTCACCAGAGCAAACTGGAGCTTCTACCACATACCTCTATCTGTGCCCTGCCACCAGGCCCTGGCGAAGTATGTGCTTTACGTACAATTAATACTACCTGTAGCCCTATGTGCCCACACATAGGTATGCTTTACAGTGTGTGCTTTACATTAATACTTTTAACAATAATAAATTTTATGTAAAAATTATAAAATTTTACTCATCATTGAGCATTAGGAATACAGTAGTACAGTATATGCTACTGTATCAATCAATCAAACTCTATTGTAGGCCTATAACACAAAAAACCCAAATAACTATCTTTCATGTAATTGACCACAAGGCTTATCTTTAGGCTTAATGTTTACAATTCACATTTAAATTACCTTGTATTTGTATTACCAGGGCTGATCCATCCTTCTGTAGTTGTGAGCACAGGTTTCTCTTCTTTGATAGCCAACAATGGTTGATGGAATAAATGATTTTCACACGTATCTGTGAGATGTTCCAACACTTACTGTATCTGAAAATTCAGAGATTTGAAATATGTTACTGTTGTTCACTGAGAATTAAGTTAACTGTTAGTGCGCCACCTATCGGTGCATCGTCGTTGACGACCATCTTACAATACAGACAGTTTGCTGTGTATTTGTTTGTGTTGTTTGAGTTCCGGAATTAAAGTAACTCACGCTGTTTAAAACCTAAGTGTGTTATTTATTTATTGTTCTGAAACCTTCCGAGAACATAACAGTGGCGACGAGGACGTTTATTTTCATCATTTAACGTCAGTACTGTTCGAAGATTTTTCGCTAAGCCCAGGGCTTAGTCTACCTACCTGATTCTACATAGTTACCGTGCACACTATACCGTACCGTATTCACGAGGATGACTGCTCCGGACACGCAAACACAATTACTGGCCATGATGGCGGAACAAAACGAGTTACTACGCTCGCAACTTAAAACCCAGGGAGATCAAATGCTAGAACTGATGACTACGTTTAAACAGTCACAGTCTCAACAGCAACAGGTCGTTACTCCTATTACTAACATGACTCCCAAGTTTACACCATTTGATCCTACAACTGAATTGTGGACGGACTATTGGGCTAGATTTAAGACATTCATACAAGCGCATTCTGTTCCTTCTGATAAGGAAGCCCAAGTGTTTCTGACTAACCAAAGTAAGGACATTTATAAGGTAATTTCAAACCTAGCTGCCCAGGAAAATCCTCCGATTGAAACAAGTACTTTGACATTGACCAAAATTGAAGAATTTATGAAGGTTCAATTCCATCCTAAACGGTTCATCGTCAGAGAGAGATTTAAGTTCTGGTCATGAGGAAACTTCACCATTTACCAAATTTTCAATTTTTTAACCAGGTTTTGCCGATCTCTTCTTATCTCTTTTAATTACTGCTTCAGGCAATTTTATAACAAGATTAACAGTGAAGCTCATTAGTTGTGAATAGTTCATAAGAAGACTAGCACAATTAAATCAAAAACCATGTTGTAACTTCTAACATAAGTCATTGATTTTTAAAATTCAAAAGCATATCTATTATGATTATTATCTGAAATTATAGCTAAGGTAATAAAAATGTCAAATTTTTTTTGAACAGCAGGTTTTTAAAATTCTCCAGGATGGTTTTTAAATACTATACTGGTAATTTAATGAGAAACAGCAATGCATGCTGTCTTAATGACTCTTAAGTAGAGGTATTCTTCTTTGATGTTTAATTGGATTATTGAGATAAGATTCTGGCAAAACCTGGTTCACCAACCCGCCAGAGTACCCTTTTAAAGGGTTTGCTGGTAAATGGGATAGTAACAGCATTGTCTAATATGAAACGCAAACCAGGCGAGCATGTCAATGAACTTGCTGCTAGAATAAGGCAGAAAGCTGCAACATGCGATTTCATGAAAATAAAAGATCCATTGGATGAAGCACTGCGAACAAATTTTATGAGGCCGTCCTAAAAGCTTTGTTCAAAATAAAGGATGATGATCTATCATTTACTAAAGCCATACAAGTAGCAGCAGAAGTTGAGGATGCAGCCAAAAGAAGAAACATGACGAAAATGACGACAATTATAATTAATTCTGTCAATCAGGTAACCATGCAGCAGATTTACAGTGATGTGTACATTGGTGATAAAATGTACAAATTTGAAATTGATACAGGTGCAGGGGACAATTTCATGTGTAAGGAAGTATGGGCAGACTTGAGCAAACCACAGTTGTCCAAATTTGATGCTAAATACCTCTCAGCATCAGGCCATAATCTTCCAGTCCTCGGCATGTTCTCAACTGTAGTGAAGAACAGCAGTAATCAATCAGAAATGATTCGTTTCGTAGTGTCAGAAATGCCCGGACTTAATCTTCTGGGCAGAGAAGCTATCTGTAAGCTTGGAATTTCAGTAGATGCTCTATTGGCAATGGATAACAAACCTATGGATCACCCAGTACCTACTATTCACAGCCCTGATTCTCATCCAGATGAATCACTTCAGAATGCTTGCATACAGATGTGCGATGAATTTTCAGATCTATTCAAACCAGAGCTAGGTTGCTTGAAAGATATGGAACTGGAAGTAAAATTCAAAGAGAATTCAACGCCAGTTTTTCGTAAGGCGCATCCAGTGCCTTTCGCTATACAACATGACTTGGCTCAAGCCTATAAGGCAGGGATAACGAGAAGTATCTGGACACCTGTTAAGTTTAATGCATATGGTACACCCGTGGTCCCAGTGCGCAAGGATAATAAATTAAGAGTTTGTGGGGACTACTCGGCTACAGTGAATCCACAGTTAGAGGATCATCGCCATCCACTACCTTTGCCAGAAGACCTAATGCGTAAATTGTCTAAAATTGATTTAGCAGATGCTTACAACCAGATTTGGTTGGGTCCTGAAAGTCAAAAACGACTGGCACTTAATACTCACCAAGGAGTTCTCCTCCAGACGCGCCTACCTTTTGGTATCAAAAGTGCACCAGGTTATTTCCAGAGCATCATGGAACAACTGATAGGTAACCTTCCAGGTGTTGCTGTATATCTTGATGATATCCTAGTTAGTGGACATAATGCTGAGGAACATTTACACAACCTAAGACAGCTTCTACAATGCTTGCAGGAGAATGGTCTAAGATGCAGGAGGGAGAAATGTGAGTTTGCACAAGCAGAAATTGAGTACCTAGGACACAAACTATCAAATCAAGGTGTTGCGAAAGGTCATAAAGTGGAAGCGGTACTTCAAATGCCACCACGACAGATGTCTCAACACTGAGAGCGTTCCTAGGGAAATTGCAGTTCTACGGTAAATTCCTACCAAACCTTTCAACCATAGCCAGCCCTCTGAACAGGTTGACCAGAAAGAATATACCATGGGAGTGGGGTAAAGAGCAACAAGCATCATTTCAACACTTAAAGAACTTCGACCCATCACTACCTATTGGTATTGCTTGCGACGCTTCTGTTGTGCCGATAGGAGTGAAAGACCATTGGCCTATGCTTCAAAAACACTAAATGACAGCCAACGCAAGTATGCACAAATTCAGAAGGAAGCCCTTTCTATTATTTTTGCCTTGAATAAATTTCATCAGTTCCTCTATAGACGAAAGTTCATCCTAGTAACAGATCACAAGCCCTTGATATCACTATTTGCACCTGATACACCGACACCAACTCTAGCTGCAAATCGTTTAGCCCGGTGGGCTCTAATAATGAATCAGTATGATTATACCATTGAGTATCGGAAGACAACTGATCATGGAAATGCAGATGCGTTAAGTCGGTTGCCAATGGCACCGGACAAAGATTTTGATAGGGAAGAGGATGATGCGGAAACAGACACAGTCTGTATGATAAAGTCAATCAATCTCCAATTAAACAACAATGCTAAACTGTTGCAGAAAGAAACCCTTAAGGATCCAGTACTGACAACTGTGATTAGATACACCAGAGAAGGGTGGCCTTCTCGGGAGATAACCGTTACCCAAAGTACAGAGGGGTACAAGGTACAAGATTTCAAGAGACTGAAGGATTCACTTATGGTAACAAATGGATGTCTACTGTATGGAAACAGAGTGGTGATACCCTTCAAACTACGTTCACATGTCTTGGAACTGTTGCATATTGGACACTTTGGCATGCAGAGAATGAAACAGCTAGCACGTACTGCTGTTTACTGGCCAAATTTTGATACTGACATAGAGGACACTTGTCGTACGTGTACACCCTGTGCAGGGGCGGATCCAGAAATGTCCAAAAGGGGGGGCCGGAAGGGGGCCGAAAGTTGGGCCGATTGAGACAACACTGTCGTAGGGGGTCCGGGGGCATGGCCCCGCGAAATTTTTGTGTTCTAGACGCCCGAACATAACATTTGAGGCATTCTTGGACATCCTTTTTTCCTTTTTCTCTCTTTTTTTTCTTTTTTTTTCTTTCCCACTGGTTAACATTTAACCTGTCTCTTATACACATCTAGATGTGTATAAGAGACAGTGTACACCCTGTGGAGAACATCAAAACCAGCCTAACAAAGCACCTATACACCCTTGGATGCTTCCGGAAAAACCATTGAGTCGAGTACATGATGACCATGCGATTAATTTCATGGGTTCAAATTGGTTGTTAGTAGTCGATGCTTATTCAAAGTACCCGTGTATTCATCCAACTACTTCCACTTCGACCAGCGCTACTATCAAGCTACTTTTAGAGGATTGTGCACATTTCGGATACCCACACACACTGGTATCTGGCAACGCAACTACAGTACTTTCACATCGGATGAATTTCAGCTTTGATGTACGGAGAGGGGTATTGTCCCCCTTACAGGAGCACCATACCACCCAGCTACCAATGGAGCTGCGGAGAGATTAGTACAAAGTTTCAAACAAGCATTGAGGAAATCTACTAATCCTCCAGATGTTGCACTGAAGGAATTCCTCATACAGTATAAACGTACTCCACTACCTACAGGATTCTCCCCCAGCGAACTACTAAATGGAAGACAAATAAGAACCAAGATTGACACCTTATTGCCTTTACCAGCTCATATTGCACAAGGCAAACAAAATGTTAAGTCACTGATTCGAGAGTATAAAGTTGGAGACACATGTTATGCATTGTATTGTGGACCAAGGAGAGATAAAGACCCCAGATGGGTACCGGCCGTGGTTACTAAAAGACTAGGACCACGTTCAGTAAATGTTAAAGTTGTGCCTAAAGGCCCAGTGTGGAGCGCCACATAGAACAATTGGAGCCACGATATGAAACCAAAGAAGATGCGGATCCAGGAGTTGATTACCAACATGATAGTCTGTTGGACAATAATTATCCTGCAGTCGAACAGGCTATGATGAACACTAATGTTAATGCCCCTAAACCTTCAATTAACCATGATAAACACTATAGAGTTCATAATGACAATCGTGAGCAACATGGACCGCAGAATCCCTGTCGTTCAAGCAGAGCGCGTAAACCTAAGATGATGTTCTCATATTAGTATTAAAGTTTATGTTCCTCCCATTAACATTGAACTGTAAACTTAGTGGGGAGGTGTTGTGCACTGAGAATTAAGTTAACTGTTAGTGCGCCACCAATCGGTGCATCGTCGTTGACGACCATCTTACAATACAGAAAGTTTGCTGTGTATTTGTTTGTGTTGTTTGAGTTCCGGAATTAAAGTAAATCACGCTGTTTAAAACCTAAGTGTGTTATTTATTTATTGTTCTGAAACCTTCCAAGAACATAACAGTTACAGTAAAAAAAACAATTGGTTAATAAGCAACAATTGACAGGTTAACCAGAGAATTAAAACGATATCAACCACTAACCATAACTTATCATATCAACTTCTGTCCAACATTATCTGGTTTTTTTTCAACTTCATTTAGGTACTTTCCACTACTCTACCATGTTCTGTTGAATTAGAAGACATAAAATGAGTGTAATACAGGTACATTGCAAATTATAAAAAGGGCAATACATTTTTTTTTAATGGGGAGGATAATACTGTATGCAGCATCAGAAGGTGGCTTTCTAGTCAAAACGGCAATAAACCAAAATGGCAATAAGTCAAAACAGCAACACTTTTTTACCAGAACGACAATGGATCAAAATGGCAATAAGTGACTAAATCAAAACAGCAATAAACCAAAATAATAATAATAATAACAATAATAATTGTAATAATAATAATAATTGTAATAATAATAATAATAATAATAATAATAATAGTAGTAGTGGCCTATAACAACAACATACATACGAACGAATTCAATAATAAAAAGACTGGGGAAACACAATATCAAACAAAGCAGTAGACAATTCAAATAAATAAAATACATTGGACAAAATATGAGGCAAAACAATTCATGTACAGTAATTAAAAGTAAAAAAAATGCCAAGTAGTAGTAGAGTAGGCCCCTAGCATAGGGCTAGGCTCTATTTGTACGAAAAACTAGGTACTACTAGGCCTAGGCTAACTACAGTACAGACAGACAGTAGGCCTAGGCCTATGTTAGCTACGAAAATAGGATAGGCCCAGTCTGCCCTGGATTTTTATTATTTTTTTTTACATTAGTATGGTTCTATCGTATTCTTATTTTACCTTTTCTATCGAACACTGCATCATCAGCTGAATTACAGACGATCGGGCACACGAGACGATCGGGCCCAGACGATCGGGCCCATTTTTGGACGATCGGGCCCAAGTAGGGTGGACGATCGGGCCCAACTAGTGTGGACGATCGGGCCCACCGATGTAGACTTTCGGGCCCA